TCTATTCCACTTATTCCTGAACAGGGTCGTAGGGGGCTGGAGCCAATCCCAGCTGGGCGAAAGGCGGAGTCCACCTTGGACAGGTTGCCAGTTTATCACAAGGCTGACACGTAGACAAACAACCACACACATACACACTCACTCCTACGAGCAATTTAGAGTCACCAGTCAACATAAGCTGTATGTCTTTGGACTGTGGGAGGAAGCTGGAGCACCCAGAGAGAACCCACAATGGGAGAACATGCAGACTCCACACAAAAAGGCCGCGGGTCAGCCCAGCCTTGAACACAGAACCTTCTTGCTGTGAGGTGACAGCGCTAATCACCGCGTCACGCCTTAAATAAAAATGCTGCTGCTAAAACTGGCATATCCTGTACATCAGAAATGGTGCAGTCAAGCATCCAGTGGGGTCGGTTACTGTCGTTTAATGATGTCGAACAGTGGTTTCCTCGTAGTTACATTTCACAGCAGTGGAGCAGTGAACCATCAGGTGACATTCTCACTGTTGGTCAAGCCTTAAATCATGTCATATTTATATCTAAAACCCCCTGCTTATGTTACTTTAAAGGACAGTCAGTTTCTATTCAACACTGTCAACACTGCCCATACAGAGACTAAAACACCAATGATTTGTCTCTACTCATGATTAATGTCTGTCAGTCCTGGGTTAGCTCGTTTGTCTGTGCCATAGAGCTCCACTGTTGTTCAAAAACTATCAAAAACACAACACACAACAACTGTTTGTGTGTGTAAATAGATCAACTGGCTCTGTGTAAGTGCACACACACACACACAAACATAAGTAGGAGGAGAGCCATACTTCACTGTCAATGTACTTTTTTGCTCAATCATTAAAAGTTAATTTCACAGTCCCCCACCGCTGCCGCCCCTCCTTCTTCCCTTGGCTTTCTGTCTTGTGCGATCAACAATAGCCTATTTTGTGCTGTCCCGTGCGAGTGGAGACACACCCGAAGCCAAGGCCACGGTGCGAGGGGAGATTGTTGGGCGGTGGCCAGCTGAGAGGGACACAGGCTCAATTCTCGTCTGGGAGAGGGCAGAGGAGGTCTTACTGGTTTGGCTGTAAACTAGTGGTCATTTAGTGCAGTGACTCCCCAACCAGAGGTACATCTGCAGCTGACAGGGGTAAAGATTGTGAAGCAGCTCAAATATTTTGAAACAAAACATCTATTTCAATTAAAATATCTATGTATACAACACAGTACTGTGCAGAAGACTTAGGCCACCGTTAGTCTTGTTGTTTTAGCAACTTTCTGATGAGCCTATATGGTGACACAGTGGTTAGCGCTGCAGCCTCACAGCTACAAGGTTCGAGCCCCCATTGGAGTGAATGTGGTTGTTTGTCTCTAAGTATCAGCCCTGTGACAGACTGGTGACCTGTCCAGGGTGTACACTGCCCAGTATGAGTTGGGACTGGTTCCGTGACCCTCTTCAGGGTAGGTGGTATGGATGATGACTATATAATTATTTATCAGTAAACAACTACAAAACATAGGAAATATGTACACAGTATTAAAAAAAAACAAAAAATGTCAGGAAAAAAATGAGCAAACAAACTGGACACTCAAAATGTGGTGTTCAAGTTCTAAATAAACATGAAGAATCTGCAGAGGTCGAGGACAAAAACAGAGAGAACAAGAAACCTGTCAGAGCCTGGTGAGAAGTTTCTCACATGACTTCAATGGAATTGGACCATCAATATGTTATGTGGTCTGACAAGTTACCACAAAAAGCATGTGTTTCTTTCAATGAATGATTTGTTGATAGATTAATTTGTTGTGAAAGTTTTAATGTGACAAATCAAAGTGGGGCTGCTTGACAATTCAGTTATTGTAAAACGCAGAAGCCAAGAAATGCCCACTACAGGGCCTGACCTTTGCACCATAAAATCCCGTCAAGGATGTTTAATGTATGTTGAAATATGTCGCAGTGCCCCAGTGGAGCTTTACGTCTAGCAACGCCCCTGGATAAATAGTTGAAATGCTCACTACCACACCAAACTAAGTACTGACACTTCAAGTGTCACACTTCTCTCTAATTAAGTGTTAAAGATCCAGTTTAACATCTGTGACAATGAACATATTTGGAATATAACTAGAGAATCTGAGTTCAGATGGGGCTGTGGGAGCACATCAGACAAAAAAGGCTTATTGTGTTTGTGTGTTTCCCAGCATCAGTGAGCACTGTATTACCTGTTCACATCTATAGACACAGCTGCAGCACGGTGCCACAGACATGTTCCTTCTCTCTCTGGCTGAATGTCATTTTGTCTTCTGTTTTTGGCCTCCTGTCAGATTGTATCGTCTGGTTGTGGGAGCCCCAAAAAGTCCTCCACACATATCACAGGATTTCAACACATGCGCCGAGCCTCGGCCACAATGCGTGCCCAGATCTCAGCTGGGCCACAGGCTGACAGTCAATCTATTGACCCCTTATTCTCTATCAGGACAATCTGTAAGTGCCACCACAGCTGGAGCACCCCACACACTTCACTGCCTCCTCTGATAAGGCCAACTCGTTTCATTGTCCGATAATATAAATACATACCAACACACCATCTGAGAGTCCCCGTCTGCACCAGCCAGCCTAATTATATAATTATCCCTTGTCTGATTGTGCCTGTGCAGCTGAGACGAGGGAGGGCCTTTGTGTGGCCGGTGGAATGCAGCACGCTTGGCATTTTTCTGCGAAAGGGCAGCTTTCTGGAAGCCACTGCCAAGAGAGGGGAGAGGAGAGTGAGATCACGGCTGCTGGTGCCCACTCTCATGTCTCTATCGGTCAGTCCATCTTATCTGTCTCTGGATCTGGCTCTCTTACTTCTGGACAATCCCATCTCTCTTCTGTGTCTGTTGCTGTCCCGCCTCCTCTTACATTCTGCTGCCCATCCTCTCTAAGCCTTCAAGTCTGGCACTTCCAGCTGTCTTGCAGACAAAGTGGCCTTTGGCTCTAAAGTGATAAGAGCTGACAGGTCACACAGTTACAGAGAAGCTGGGTGGCTGAGGGCGTCCACTCCGATGTCCGATCTTGGGACTTGGCAGCGACTGCTCCGCTGCATGATAGGAAGGCATTGCTATTGTTTCTGGTCAAGAGTTGTTGAGGGGATAAGAGAGACTAGAGTAAGAGCAGGTGTTAGCAAAGATTAGCACGGGCCTAGAAAGCATGTCTGATATTACCTCCTTCTTGAATCAAAGTCAAAAGCAACAAGGCGGGCGTCACATAAACCATGTTCTCCTGCACTACATAAGAGGATCCAGACAGTTTTCTGACATTTACATCAAGGGCCCCCCGGCCCCTGCACGTTGTTACTGCTGACTTTATTACTTTATCAGAAGCCTTTTATACTCACTAATGAAAACAGCGGGACTAAGGGTGTTGGCGCCGACGCTCTCCCTCTGAGAGCTGCTGTGTGATTCACAAACATTTAGTCATTTTGGCACTGCTAACCAAGATAGACTGCACTTTAAGAGTGATTTTAAATGTTGATACTATCTGAGGTGAACTTGTGTGTCAGATCCCTAATCTGGCTGAAAGCTGGTTTGCAACAAACAAAATCCTCTGGTTTAAAGATAATCACAATATAATCAGCTTTGTCAATCAGCTGCAGTGCACAAGTTTATCAGAAACCCAAGACAGCAAGTGTGCAGCAGGAACACTGGTACTAACAGCACTTAGGAAATTCCCATAGATTTCTGAGCTGCACCCCACCCCCTGCCCCCCAATGATCACACAGCATGGAGTATGTGAAAGAATGCTGTTGGCACATAGCAGGACACCAGGGGCCCAGTGTTCCCATCTCAAGCTTCCTTACATGCCACAGTGATTTTTAATGGCATAAAAAAAACACAAATAAAAGTAAAAAGTGATCAGAAAGTGCGACAAAAGGCAGTGCCAGCACACCGAAAGACTTTAACCGGAGGAACTTTTTCATAATTCTTAGAACTACTGGAAAAAGCACCCGCTTTTTGCATGTCTTCACCACAGGAACTGTGAAGGATAATAGTTCTTAGAACGTGATTTTGATGGACTTTTTAAGCTCCTACTTCACAATAGGTACTCTCCACGCATGATAGGAAGCATGAATGATGTACGTGTAGCAGTGCCAAGTTAGTTATAGTGATCATTAACCATCACCAGTGGCACGAGGAGCTGCAGTCCACCAACACAGGCCTCTGCAGAGGGTTAATGACATACAACCTACCGGTAATCTAATGTCTCTATGTGTTAACTACTGTGAGCTACTGTTGGCTAATCGCTAACAGGCGGCCGCCTTAGTGTTACATCACTTCAGCATTCCCATTGGCGGTGCAAATGCAAACAGAAAAAGCCCGTAAAGTCGTGTAGTTCTACAGGGAGCTCCCCAGTGGGGTAGTCCTTAGAACTAAGTTCCTTAGAACTGTTTGGTATAATATGTTGAGTGCTTAAGTCAAAAGTAGGGCCCAATGTCATCACAGCACCAAGAACTCCATTGATGCATCCATCTCAAACACCCCTGACAAATCGTGATGCATGTGGAGCATCCGTCTAAACTAGAGGCAAATACCAGGAACATGCTGCATGTCACCTACAGGTCCATCAGGTTGCATCGCTCCACAGCGCCCCTGCTGGTCAGTACCTTTTCTGAGGGTGTGTCGGGCATCTTTAATATGCAAGGTAAATTTTAGTTCTGTAAAAAGATGATCTTGTGATTTAAAGATGAGCTGACATGAGTTTTTATCAGAATCAAAGAGGTTTGATTAGTGACCTTTGCAAAGTGCTTCAAAATAAACCATTTAGACTGTAGCTAATAGGGGGTAATGCTCTTCATTATGCAATATGTCATAAGGAAACATTTCCTTCATACTTCCATCCTCCTTTTCTGTTCCCCTTCCTCTATTGTATTACCCAGCTGGCAGGTGGAGAGCGAAGCAGAAAAAGACCAAACTTTCCTGGTATTCACTGTCTAGGCACTTATCAAACAACAGAGCACAGAATATCATGTTGAGTAGGGCTATGGCAGTTTTATTTGGAAAAACGTTATCAGCAGAAATGACAATAAATGATTATTATTGTATATGATCAGAGCTAGAACATATTTAGCTTTCAATTTAAAGAGCAGTTCAAGCTGTTCAGGGTGATTGATAGTTGAATGGCGCCACCATGTGTTAGTACAAACTTACTGCTGCAATTACACACTGCTTTGACTGGTTTAGAGAGTTTTTGTCAACTCAAAGAAAAATAATTGGTTGATTAACTCTTCAAGGGATTTTCGGGCAACAATGCCAAATGCTTTGAGCTCCTGCTTCTCACTTATGAGGATTTCCTGCAATTTTTTCTAATGTTTTCCCACATGGGCTTTTGCACACTATGGTGAGTAATCTTTTACTTAGTTTGACACTTTATAGGGCAAACAATTAATGAATGAATCATTTAAAACTGTCAATTTATCATAATACAGACATAATGTGTTGTTTACCATCCTAAGGTACTGTAGGTAAAAAGGTAAATGTTATCAACACTTGTAAGATTCAAAAAGGTAAAAAGACAATTTTTATAAAAAAGATTCAGATATATACAAAGTTACTGGATTTTTCAAAATGGCAAATGCAAGCTAGAATACCAATATTACAACACTTCCCTGTTGTGTGATTAGAAGACGCAAACGCAGCAACTGAATGTGTACATTACGAACCTAATGCACAGGCTATACGCCTGCATTAAGGGCGACATAGCAACTATAGGAACAGCACAAGGGGAGTGTTGTTTCCATATGTATAGAATGTGTGTTCAGCTGAGTGTATATACACCACTGCCATTCATTTCTGTTGTGAGGTGGTTAGTCCTCAGAGCTCGTTTCTGTACAGTGAGGCGGTGGCAGTCGATGTGTCTGAACTCAGCCGCAAAAAGGCCGAAGAGGCAGAAAAACAACATGGCCAAGGTCCACTCACACACAGCAGCTTCAGAGCGATGGCCAGTGTTGTGGAGAACAGACACTGAAGGAGGGGAACTGGTCAAGGGGCACAATGTTAAAGGACTGTATTAAATCAAAACATACAGCGGAAGTCAAAGTTTGCCTTGTAGTTTCTTTGATGCTTTCTGTAACCAAGTGCAACTTTAAAAGCAATGAATAAACGGGTAAAAACATCTAACGTATTGGACAAATTTAAAAAATGGTCAAGAGTACCGGGGAAAATGCTGAAACAGTAAAAGATAAATGGTTGAAACTGTTAGTGTTAAGTGTCATGGCTAATTTAATGAATGAAATGGGCTAGTTGGCTAAAAGTAACAAATGTAATATCTGCTAAAAAATAGTGGATAAACAAGTGAACTCATTTAGCTTAAAAATGGATTAAAGCAGTTAAACATTATCACAGCTAGCTTAGCGTAGTAGATGAAGTGTAAGAGTCAGCTAAAAGAAAGGGACAAAGTTCACTAAACTTAAACGGTTAAGTTCTAGTTAAATTCAGTGGATAAATAGTTTCAATGTAAGAGAATTAATAGTGTTAACAATCAGTTTAAAATCAGGTCAAATGAACAGTAGTAGTAGTAGTAATGGTTGCGACAATAAGCAAAAAGTGGTAACTGATAAACAAAGACACACGAGTATCAACTCAGTTTGGATTTGATATTGACCTCTAGTTTTTATTCTTGATGCAGGTAGGAAGGATACTAACAATGACCAGGATGGTACAGAGGCAGCAGCAGGTCGCTCTGACAGGCTTGACCCAGCGTCCGTCCTGACACGGCTGAGCCCGATAGGTTAGAAAGAGCTGTGCCCAGAAGTAGGCCAGGCCAAGCATGAAGGTCAGGAATACTCCCAAAAGGTGAACTGTCTTTAAGACTGATTGCTAAGTGGTGTAGGCAGACAGGGTGAAGATGTAAACACTGATAATTGTGTCAGCAAAAGAAGAGAACTTCACTTATTTCCACATTGTTTAGCTGTTACCTGAAAGTTGCCAAGGATAGAGATTCCTAAAGAGGAGATGAATCCCAGAACAAGGCTGGCAGTGTTGGCCTTTCCATGGTCACCGTAGTCCCTAACCTGCTGGAAACGGATCACGGCAATCCACAGGGCTGAGACAGAAGGAGAGAGCACGTTATGATTAATGTAAAATAAAATAAAAAGATGTCAGTTTAAAACTAAACTAAGACAAGACAAGCACACAAATCAATGAGAGCAAGCAACACAACAACAACCTCTCATAACACGATGCCCTACAACCATTTGGCAAGATGTCAGACTAGAAAAGCCTTGTCTCTTTATCCAACCCTATTTAGTAGCTAACTGCTAATCAGCAGCAGGGGACTCTAAACCTCCTACCAGAGGTCAACAGGTCATACTCTACAAAACATGAGATGGAACACAGATAATCTCATTAGCTCGCCCCGGCAGCCTGTTCATATGCAGACAGCAGTAATATCTGCTCTTTGACACCAATAATTTTCCAAGCAGGACGAATCATCCAGAACAGTTTAGTTTTTAACTGCACAGAAATATTACCAAAACTGTAATACTGTACCTGATTAAACTCTCAAATAGTACCTGAAAGAAAGTCCATCCATCCATCCATTTTCTTCCGCTTATCCGGGACCGGGTCGCGGGGGCAGCAGTCTAAGCAAAGATGCCCAGACTTCCCTCTCTCCAGACACTTCCTCCAGCTCCTCCGGGGGAATGCCGCGGCGTTCCCAGGCCAGCCGAGAGACATAGTCCCTCCAGCGTGTCCTGGGTCTTCCCCGGGGCCTCCTCCCGGTGGGACATGCCCGGAACACCTCCCTAGGAAGGCGCCCAGGAGGCATCCGAAAGAGATGCCCGAG